ACCTCTTCACCTGAACCCTCACTGCTCCATCCACCACCAAGCCTCATCCCTTTCACCAAAAATGACTGAAAAAGAAGCAGCAGATGTGCTTTGATTCTAGGTAAAGAGTGATTGGGTGGGAGACACCCAGCACTGGGGTGTAATCCCATGTCCTGGTCAGGCTGGCACGGTCACAGCTATAGGAACAGCACGGACACCATGCAAGTTTGCCTCCATGGGTTTAAGGGAAGAATGTCAGCACAGATAACACCACAGCCACACTGCAAACAACTGGACAAGACAGCAGCAGCAGGAAGAGTCCAAGGATGTATTTTGGGGGACTATTTCTTTCTTAGCAGCTGCTACCAGCACCACCTCCAGCACCATGGTGTCCTCCCACAGCACCAGCAGTGTACTTTCACACTGGCTCTGGGGCCCAACCACTGCAGTGTTCCCCACCTTACACTGTCCCCTTCCCATCGGGCCACCCAGAGCAGGCATCTCTGCTCAGAGCACGTGCAGAGCATACCCACGCTGTGGCCTAGGGTAAAATTCAGGGCACAAAATGCACCGGTGGCTTTTGCCCCCTCTTTCGCAGAGGGCCAGGACCGAACCCAGCCTCCTTGCTGCCCAAACCCGCAGCGCACGTGACACAGGGAGGCTTTGAGGAGAGCCGAGCCTCAGCGGGCTCTGTTTGCCCTTCCCTTGTTTGCAGCAGTGTCGCATCTGGGCGCTCCTCGCAAGAGGAGAGAGGGGAAAAAAAGAGAAGAAAAAATCCCGCCTCCTCCTGCTGAACAACCTCTCCATCACAACAAAGCCCGAGCGGCAGCCAAGAGCTGGGAGCCCCTTTTGTCTAATGCTCACCATGCCCTGGGCAGGCCGGTGCTGCAGCGCGGGCGCAGGGCAGGGGGCCAGGCACAGCACAGGGCGAGAGGAGCCAGGGTCGGCTCAGCCCCACGGGAGCAGCTGTGGGGCAGGGGGGGGACAGGGGCTCCCCAGCCCGGCCGGCACTGCTCCCCCATACACGGCCATTTTGCTGAGCACAGCGGCTCACCCAGAGCAGGCATTCCCTGCGAACCAAACCTCAGCTCCAGGGTGCCCAAGGCCCCACAGCTTGCTGCTCAACACAGCAGGGACAGACCCAGTTGCTGGTCCACACGCTCCAGACATGCTGCATTAGCACAGGCTCATTTCCCTCCCTGCTGCAAAAAGTACTAAGCTCCCACTCCTGCCCTAAATGTCTTCTGGGGCTCCAGCAGCCTTGGCTGGTGCAAGGAGCTGCCCAGGTACCAAAGCACAGCCCAAGGCAAACCTGCGCTAGGTGCTCAGCACACCCCACAGAGCCTGGAAGGTCTCAACAGGGGTTACTGCCAACAGGCTTCATCAGGATAGGCCCCATCACTGGCAAAGTTAATGCTTGTGTCCCAACACAAGAGATAGCATCAGGCTCAAGGAGGGTACGTAACAAGCCAGGGCAAGCCGCAACAGGAGGCTGGATACGGCCAGATAAGCACCTAGAAAAGGGGTATTTGGGATATTCAGCTCCCAAGGCTTCAGCAACCAGAGGAGCTGTGCAGTTACACTGGCAAAACACATCCCGTCAATCCCATGGGCTGTGTCCATAGGCTCTATCACTGTCATGATGTCAGACACGTGTCACCTTGTCCTGTGTCAGACACAAGGAGCAAGGGTGATCTCGCCCACGGACACCACACCAGCTCGAGCAGCCGCTGACATGAAAGGGTGGCCAAAAATCCCAAAGCAAAGCTGCTTCCTATACCCAGAAGGACTGAGAGCTGCAAAATGTTACAGTGAGATATTTAAAGAGCACAAAAGCAGAAGGAGGGGCAAAGAGCGAGCTGACTGTGGCACCAAGGCACCTTGTTCAAGGAAAAATACTCACTGCTAAAGTGCTCTTTAATCCTCAAGGAAAAATAGTCTCAGCTAAAGTGCTCTTTAATCCAGCCAAGGAGATCCAACAAAACCTCCTGGCTGGAGGCTGACTGCTCAGAATGCACGTAGGTATAGGGAGGTCATCTACCCCGGGCTGAAGGCGGTGAAGAAAGAGACGTTCTCTCTTTCTTCATCCCCAGATGGAGACCAGCCTCCCTGCCTGAAACGGAAGTGGGAGCAGCACAGGGTTAAGCAGAGGACAAGCTGCTGGAGACCAAAGGTTGGGCTGAGTCACAATGTGGCTGTTCCTGTTTCGGCCTGAGCAAGTTTCTCTCTTCCCAGGCAGGGCTTGTCCCCAGGCCTCAAGGAACCAGCCGCCTCCGTCCCCCTCTACTGCTGCTGCCCTCCCACCACCAGCAGGTACCTGTGCTCTTCACTTGTCCTTCAGATTCCACACCGGGCATCTCTGCAGCTTCCAGGAAACAGGAAGAGCCCAACACCACTGCCCACCTCCACCTCATCAGCCATTAGCCCTTCCTCAGGCTCTTCCTCGAGAAATAAAACTGCTTTCCCACCTCTCACCATGCAGACACCTTTCTTCTCACCCTCAGCTTTCCCGAACTGAAGGAATCCATCTAGCTGACAAAAGAGAGCTGATGGCTCCTCCCGAGTGCAAATGTGACACCATTTCCTGCAATTCCAGACCTTAAATCACTTCTCAAAACACGGCTGTGTTTGTATCTATGTGGTTGTACCAGAACCTGGACAAGGCAGAACCATCCTTACAGGGTATCTGTACAAAGATGATACAACAGCATGGGTTGAAGGGACCTTAAAGCTCATCCAGTTCCAACCCCTGCCACGGGCAGGGACACCCTCCACTAGAGCAGCTTGCTCCAAGCGCCTGTGTCCAACCTGGCCTTGAACCCTGCCAGGGATGGGGCAGCCACAGCTTCTCTGGGCACCCTGTGCTAGCACTTCAGCACCCTCACAGGGAAGAACTTTGACCTGCTGGTCATGCAGCCCAGGATACAACCAGCTTTCTGGGCTGCGAGGGCGCAGCAACAGCTCATGTTGTTTATCACCCACCAGTACCCCATGGTCTTTCTCCACAGGGTTGCTCTTAATTTATTCACCCTCAACTCTGCACCAACAGTGGGGATTGTCCCAGCACAGGTGTGGGACCTTGCACTTGGCTCTACTGAACTTCATGAGGTTCACATGGGCCCACTCCTCCAGCCTGCCAAGGTCCATGATGTTTGGTCCCTCTCTTCATAATCCCCACCTCACTTTGGCAATTCTATCAGCAAAGGGCTTCTGCAGCTGCATCAAGGGAAAGAAATAAATCTTTAATACTAAAAGCACATGCAAAGCCATGCAGGGCACAACAAAAGGTCCAGCCAGTTCCCACAGTTTTCACAGTGGCCAGCAGCAGATGGCTATGAAGGAATGTAACAGCCAAACATGTTGAGATATTTCCCAAACCACTTCCCAAGCTCCAGCCCTCCTATGGCTTTCTCCAAAAGACACTGCCCTGTACACCCGACCATGCGCTCCTCCTCCACAAATCCACCCAGGTGCCCCAGAGCATCGGTGAACTTCCAGCATCCAGTTTCTGCAGCAGCATTCAAGCCCACCATGCAAAAGAGCACCTGCTCCTCTTCCTGGTTTCATTCACTCTGGTTCCACAGCCAGAAAGGACAAGGCTACAACACGTCACCTTCACACCACTCCTTAATCTTACAGGCTTCAGTCACCTGCTCCAGGAGCCTTCCCCTCGAGCAGAGGAAGCACTGACCTACTTAGCAACTCTTCTCCCATGGCTGACCATCCCCACCAGCCTTTTCTCCACGTATGCTCTTTTTGTGGATGTTAAAAATAGGCTCAGCAACTCTCCCAACCCCACTGAGCATTCCCCACACGACCCTTCCTGGTGCACAGCACTGGGATCCCCACGCCAAAGCAGAAACTCTCCCAGGGAGCCCCCAGCTGCAGACACAGCAAACCCACACCCCTGACACCCCCCGGTCACCCTCCCCACACCCCAGCACGTTCTGGCAGCACCAGGGCTCAGACACCCCAAACCCACACCCCACGCACAGCAAACGAGTGGCTTCACAGGCATGGACCAGCAACACCATGAGTGCAGCTGCTGCGGGGAGCTTCTGCTCCAAGCATGAAGAAAACTCCAAGCACTCAACATGTTCTCCCATCTGCCCACAGCAACCACCTCACTTGAGATCACTGAGAAACAAGCTCCCTCCGCTCCAGCAGCGGCATTCAGAGCTGGCTGCGCACCCCTCAGAGCCAAGCGCCGCTCAGACGGACACACGGCCGTTCACTGGAAAGGCTTTTTGTACCCCTGGTGACCTGGAAGAGCAGCTTCACCAGCTCAGCATCACTGCTGCATGTCAGCAAGGAGCGACATGTACAAACATCACCCACAGCAACCTGTCCTCCCGAGGCTGAACGTCACAAGTGGGACAAAGCCTAGAAACCAACAGCAGAACAAGAAACGAGGCGGTGACTCCTGTCAGCCCTTCACCTAGTGCTTGTCTACACGCCCACAGGAATCCCACATTTACTAACACGTTAAGGTCTCCTCTCTGCAAATGATGCAACCACAGAGAAATAAACTCCCCCAGGAGCTGCAGGGAGCTTTCACACAGGAGTTAAAGACACCAGGAAGCAGAGCATGGTGGCCAACAGACACGGCCCTGTCCCATCAGGAGCTGCAGCAGGCAGGTGACTAGGACATCACCTTCATATTAACCCAGGTTCCTCCCACAGGAGCTGAACAGGCTCGGACCTGCTTGGCACAGACACAGCACTGAAGAAACCAAATCCCCGAGGGTAGGGCAGGCTGGTGCCCTGACGCACGGTGGCTGCAGGCTGTTTGCTGGTGCAAAGCTTGACCAGTGCCCTCCCATCGCCACATCCAGACCACCAGCCAAACCATCTTCACACCAGAACCGGGAGGCACCAGCCATACGTCAGGGCTGGCCCCCAACAGCACAAGACACGTGTGGTCCTGCTGCAAGTTCCGCAGCAGCACGTCCCAGCACAGGAGTGACCATCAGAGTCAAGCAGCAGCGTCGTCTCCACCCACACCCCAACACCTCTCTTACCTTCTCCGACTTCACCTTTTTCAGCTGTCGGCACTCGCTTTCCCCATCCTCCAGCTCCGACTTAACTCCCAAGGGATTGAGTGCAGCTCCCGTGTCAATAGCTATACTCCCAAGCTGCTCGGCAGCAGCAGGCTCTGTCCCCTGGCCCCCATCATACTGTCCCACCCTCACTGCCAGGGCCAGGGGCTGCAGCACGCTGGGCTCCTTCTCCGATGCAGCCCCTGCACCTTCACTCCTTTCCTTCTTGCTTTTGGACGAGCCGCCCTCCTTCTCCTTCTTGGAGCCGGCCACGCTGCGAGATGCCTTGGCCGATTTCTCTGAGCCCTTTGGGGTGACGGCAGGCACCAAGCTGCCCGAGTTCGCACCATCCCCAGCGCGCCCTTGAGCCTCCTTCTTGCCACCAGCTCCCTCGCTGGGAGTGAATAAGGAAGTCCCTGGGGCTGGCTTGCCACTGTCCTTGCCAGTCTTGCTCCTTTTCGACTTGGATTTGCCTTCCTTGCCCTGCGGGCCCGGCACCGGGCTCACAAACTTGATGTTATCCGGCAGGGTCGCCACCGCGTTGGGTGCCGGGAGCCCCACCTCTTTGGAGCCCGACATTTCCAATTTCTGCTGATCCTTCTCCAAATCAGCGTCCAGGTCAATGATGAGATTCCCTACGCCAATGTCCCACTCATCCCCGCTGTCGTACGTCTCAACCGGGTTCGCATCAATTCCTTTCCCTCCGGAAGCTCCGCTGCTCAAGGACATCTTAGAGTTAACAGCCCCTCACAGTTCAAGGTTCTTCCCTGCCTCCACACCCTGGGGGTCACCTACGTCCTTGGGGGGCTTCCAGTGGTCTGGGTCTGCCCAGGTGACGGCATCGCTGCTGGAAAGGAGAACAAAGAGAACAGGGTTACACAAGAAATGCCCAGACAGACAGATCTGAAGGTCAGAAGAGCCACAAGTGCAGGCAGAAGCAGTCCTGGGCAGGGGGAAAGCCCCCAACCTCCCAAATCCCCATCACACAGCACGAGGCAACATCCTCCTGCTGCCCACACCCCCCGGGCTGGGGCTGCTCCTCAGCCATCCCTGCAGCAGCAGCAGCCATCTGGCACTGGTCCCTCGATCAATACCAGCCCTGGCAGGTCACAGCTCTCGGCTCCACAAGACATTACTCACACGTTTCCCTGCTCACCATTTCTCTCTGAATTATCGAGCGCTGCCCCTGGGAGGGAGGATTGATTCCTCTCCTGCTGATGCCACTCAGGGGGAGGGCTCCTGTCCAGACCAGAGCCACTTGCCAGGGAAGTCAAGTGCCTCAGTGGGAAATAAATCCCAAGTTTTCAAGCACCTGTGACACTTGGGACACATCGAGCATCCGCTGAAGGCCGAACCGCAGCAGGAAGTGCAGGCTTTCCATTCCACGGCTCCAAGCAGCACAACACTGCTCTGGTTTTGGGACATTAAACTACTGTCACCTTCAGCACGATGAGCCTGCTGGCTTCGAATGATGGGAGACAGAGACACAGCTGCACAAGTACTGGTCTTAACTGGGAAGAGGGGGATCAGCCCTACCTGCCTGCGCCATGGCAGACCCCAAAGAGCCCAAAAGTTCTACTCCCGACTTCCCCAAGGCAATAAGGGAGGAAAAAAAAACAGACACCCACACACAACCTGGAAACACCAGAGCCCTCACTGGGATTCACTCCTGGCAATTACACTGAGACACAATTAACACATGAAACAGCTTCTCCCCAGCAGCCACCCAGCCAGGTCCTTGGCCCCAGGTCCTTGGCCCCAGCCACCTGCTTTCCAGATCGCTTAAGAACTCCTTGAGCACCCATTTGGATGCAGCTCCTCTCCACCAGCACCATTCCACTTTTCCCCAACAAGCTCCAGGCCTGCCTGCTCCCAGTACTATTTATGAGCAACACTTCAAAAAACAGGCGACTTAAAAAGAAATGAGAAGGAAAAACAAGAAAAAAAAACTCCACATAGGCACAAATTTCTTCAAACCCAGCAGGCAGGAGCCTGGAAAGCAGCTTCACGGTGCGTTTCCAGAGATGCAAACACTGTAGAAATGCCAGGGATTCTTTCATCAGACAGGCTGCCACAGCCAGACCTTTTTCCATCTGCTCCCCACAGCATCCTCGGCTCCGTATAGCTAATAATCTGCTCTCTGACAGGTCATTACGGAGATTTTTAACCCCAGGAGCTAGGGGCTAGCATCAAGCTGGAAATGAAAAGCACTGACCTCTCATTTCAGTGGCAGAGAAAGTGCCGAATCAGGAGATCACTTTGCGCACCGGTATCACTAACAGCTTCCCAAAGCCACCCTGGAGGTTTCTATCGTCACCTCCTCCTGCCCCAGCACTTGCTCCCCAGCCCCAAGCCAGGGCATCCAACCCAACCTGCCCTCCAGAGCCTCCCTCCAAACCACAGATGGGGCCAGGAACCAGCAGTGACCATCTCATTGCCGCACGGCACAGACCTCTGTGGCTGGTGCACAGCCAGCTCCCTTTGTGTCATGGATCCACTCTGATTCCTTTGTCCAGGGGGGCAGAGCTGGGAACAAGGTGGATGAACCCAATTTTTATCTGCTAACAGCCCCTTCCTGGCCAAAAGCTGTGACACAGCATCCAGCTACAACCCTGCTGGACTGGGCTTGGGGACATGGCACTGGACCAACACATGGGATGAGGCTCAGGCTCCATCTCCAAGAGCTGTCCACCCAGGGCTGGAGCATGCCAAGGGCCACAGCCAGCTCAGAGCAGGGGGACAAACCGGCCTCACAGTCACAGCAGGATGACAGACAACCCACAGGGTTGTGTTGCAACAGGCACAGCACCTCCTTGACGCCAGTTTGGATGGCTCCCAGCTCACACAGGGAGCTCACCTTGCTGTACGTGTGCATATATACATGCACATATACGTAAGTAATATTTATATATACATGAAATAAGGAGAGCAGATGAGCGGGACTCGGGTCTGGAACTATGCAAAGAGCAGCAGCGTTTGCCAATTCCTACCACAACAAAAGGAAGAAGGAGCCCAGAAGGCCGCTGGGTCTCTGGTGATTAGAGAGCCAGGAACAATCAAAGGGCTCAAAAACAAGAAGAGAAAAAACATCCACCCTACAGACGAGGCGTTGAGGGAGCTCCGGCTCAGCTAATGCAGAGGGAAGGGAACCGCAAACAGGACAGACGAGAACACGCTGGATTTGCAAGTGGAGGAAAGGCACATCGAGCCAGAGTGGGGCAGGGAGCTCACGAGGTGCAGCTGCTGAGGGACCAGGGCAGGAACAGGCCCTTTCCAGCCTGGGCCTGAAGGTGGGACCTGATACACAATCGGGTGTGTGTGTGTGTGTGTGTGTGTGTGTCCCTGAACATCATCACATCATCCACTGCACAGGGCTCTACAGCACAAACCCCCCTCCCTCAAACTCCCATCCCGATTCCCCATTTCTCCAAAGAGCCACTCTTGCAGGCTCAATCTCTGCAGCCAGAGGAGTATTTTGGGTCCCTCATCCAAGCAAGACCCCCACAGGGGCCTGCCATGTCACTGTGATTTTGAGTGGATGAGGACCCCTGGCTACCACAGCCCCATGGCCCAGAGAAGGAGGTCTCTTTTCCACCACCTGGTTTGCCCAAGCTGGAAAAGTGCCGGGTGCCGTCCAGATCCTCCCCGTTCCCCTCCCAGGTGGGGGTAATACCACCACAAGTCACAGCATCTCAGAGAACAGACTGAGGAGATTGATTCAGCTCTAAACGCATCCTTCCCCTTACCTCCTGCCACGGCAGGATTGATCCCCGCGCTACATGAAAAGCATGTGCTCACTTGTTGGCCTGGAGACCTGCCAACAAAGCATTTTAAGAGCAGTCCTGGAGCGCAGATCCTACAAGGAGACAGCTTTCTGCTTGGGAATGCTGCACACACACAGCACCAGACATGAATAATTCAGCTCCATTAGGTGCCGAGACCTCTACAATCCGCATCTAGGGGCTGGGATGGAGCCAAGCATATTAAGAGACAAACCTGAAAGTTCACTTTGGAACTGCAAACACACCTAGAGAAAGCTATTCAAACAGAAGAGCTCACCTTCGAAAGGGAGCGAGGAAACCGCACGAGCCCGCGGCTCTTTGTGCTAAAGCATGTGCAGGATGCTGGGCACTGAACCCACCGAGCCCGCACCGCCCCAGCCTTTCCTGCCGGGTACTGCAGGCCAAGAAACCAAACTGGGGCAGGACTGAACGCCCAAGGGCAACGAGCTGCAGAAGAAAGCTCTTCTGGCAGCAAGCAGCCCACACGCAGGGAGCCTGTCTCATACCCATGTGCTCCAGCCTGCAGCGCTCCAGGATCAGCCTCTGGTGGCTTCCAGACATGACCGACTGCAATTTTCACCCTGATTAACTTTCAGGAATGCCCGCAAGAAGGAGCAGTGAAGACGATGGGGGGGGGGGGAGGAATCTCCAGGATGCAGCATTTCCTCTGGCGGGGCACAAGGCAGGGAGCAGAGGGTTTCAGTAAGATGCTCTGGAGCAACCGTGGAAGCAAACAGACCCTTCCGCTCCCTTCCCCGGGGAGGCAAAGGCCGCTGAGGCAGAGACCCATGGAAGAGCTGCTGGCCCCCACCACTTGCCGAGACCCCGAAGGGCTCCCCAGGAGCCGTGGCACGAGGGGCCGCAGCAGCGGGGCCCGTCCCCCAACCTGCTGCCTCCCCACGACATCCCTTTTTGTTTCCTTTCCCGACTAAAGCAGGCCGGGGCGGGGGGGCCGCGCTGCTGCTCCCGCTCCCCGCTCGGCTCCTACCGCCGCATTTATAATCCCCCAGCTGGGCTTGTTTGGGTTGGATTTTTGTTAAGTAACTCCCATGTCTTTTCTGCAGATTTCTTTTTAAGATGTTCCTCTCTTTCCCCGCCCCCTCTCTCCAGAGATGGGGGAGAGAAAAGAGAGATGTTGAACGCGAGCCAGCTGGCACGCACGGGAGGAGACGGAGAAATCTGCACAAAGGAGCTTCCTCACTCACTTGCTGCTTTCAGCTCAAGAAATGGCACAGGGGAGGAGGGTCTGCTCTACCCCATACATCAGTCAAGCCGTTAGCAGACAAAGGAGATTTACCATGACACCCTCCAGAACTGCCACCCAACGGGGGCAGGATCCCCCCACCGCCTCCCCCCGGCGGGAGGCCGAGCTGTTGCAAAACACGCAGAGGCACAGGGCTTCCAAACAAGCTGTTCCATGTGGAATCCAGCGAGATGTGAATGGAGGAGCCGCGCTCCCGCCTCCCGCTCGCACAAGATGCCGGGAGAGCTCCGGTGGCTCCCGGGGCCGAGCAGGACGGCGCCGGCACGCTGCCAGCGGGAGACGGCGGAGCCCAATTTGAATAAAATGGAGCCACCCTGCTTTTTTTAATATGGAGGTGCACCCCGCCAGGACTACAGCTTCCAGCATGCACCGCGGCGGAGCGCAGCCCGGCGCCACAAACTTGAGCCGGGACTCCCAAGTTTCCATAGGCTGAGCCTTGACACTGGGGATGAACCTGACACGGGGCAGCGCTCGAGCCGTGAGTCATTTGTTGGCATTCTTGAGAAAAGCCTGAAATATTTCAGTGCAGGCATTCCAAAAGCAGGACAGACGAGGTCACTGGAAGAGGCTGGAGAGGGACCAGCATGATCCAGCCTGAGCAGCAGGCCAGGGAGGTGATCCTGCCCCCCTAACTCTGCTCTCATGAGACCCTGCTTGCAGCAATGTGTGCAGTTCTGGTGTCAACATAAGAAGGCCATGGAGCTGTTGGAGCAAGTCCAGAGGAGGCCACGAGGATGATCAGGGACTGGAGCACCTCCTGTATGAAGGCAGGCTGAGAACATTGGGGCTGTTCAGCCTGGA